TTTTATTTAATTAAAAACTTCTAATTAATCTCCGTGTGAGTGGAACACTTGTGTTTCAAAATACTCTCCCGGAATTATAAAATATCGGATAGAGAACGGAGGAGACGAGGTTCATCCTCTCAGAAGCTGCCTACCTGAGAGAATTACTAAAGTTTATGAAATAAAGGTGCCTTATTTTAGTTTTATGTGGTCTTCGAGACTAGTTTTTGTTGAGAGTATTAAGTTTTTTTTTTCGTTTTAGTCCGGTTAGACACGAGAAATTAATCTGAAAACATTAGGACGTCGTCTGCTAAATAAAACCCATATACATAGAAATAAGGGAATTAAAACATAATATTACAGTGTTTAAATTGAGTCTGGTGTCTAAGTCGCTAAAAAATTGAAAACCTGACATGAAAAACGTTGCAAACGACAAAATGAAATTTGGTAGATAATAAGAAAAATCTATTTTGATAATATAAATTATTTATCAAATTTTGTGAATTTAAGTGTTACTTATGTATACTACTAGTAAAGTAATAGGGTTAAATTAATATAAATATCTCAGAACAAATTATTTAATTGGCGCAGATAACCCAAAAATAGTTTTTTGTAAAAGAAAAGCTTTGCATGTGTATCTAGTATTAATGCACATACGCATAATAAGTTGTATATATAAACGATATTCTATGCAACGTTTTTAACCTAGGAAAATATGAGCTACAAATTGTAATTAATTAAAACACGAAAAACCGAAAAGTAAAAAAAATATATTCTCAATAAAACTTACATAGTAGACAAAAAAATCAGATTAAGTTGCATATGCAGGTAATTGACAATAAAATGATCTATACTGTTTTTCCAAACATTGGATCATTTTCACAAAGTCTGCTTTTTTTATCAGAAATAGTTAAAGATTCTGTGTACATTGAAGGTAAGGCTTCTAGTTAGAAAGTATTGTAAACTGTATTTTGGACTTCAGGTCGTCCTTTTGGTTTCCTTAGTATAGGTGATATCTGCTATGTTGCATGTTTTTTTTTAATTTTTTTGATGAGCGCAAAATCGCCATCACAGTGTAATAAGCTGTGTCGGAATACTAATAATTTTTCATTTATTTTAATAAATAATTTTGCTGACATTAGATAATGACACGATGATATTATTTTTGAATTAATATTTTGGCCACCACATCGATGAGACCATAGTATAAGTTTTTGTTCTGGTCCAATCTCTAGTATCTTAAAAATCTCAAGAACATACCTTTAAATGCAAGAAGGTATTTCAGCACTCCCCTCTTGGCTACAGTTTTATGCCAACAACACGTGGTAGCTTTAGGTTCCAATATTGTGAATAGCAAGATTGTAATGTGTATAAACATTTGATAAGTTAGGTTTAAAAATGATATTGCAAATTCACACATAAAAATATTACACTAAACTTTAACTTAACTGCTTCTTCATCAGCTTTCAAAAATGAATATAAACTTGCTGCTTGTCGGTGATGTAACTCGAATCTTCTTTCGTTCTTTTTCGTTTTTTGCAACACTCAAATTTATAAAAATTTTATTACATTCTTTGTAAGTATTGGATCGAATAATTTTAAAACGCAAATTAAAATCTTTGAATATTTCTCTGTAAGTATGGAATTTTACTTTATACAAAAAATTAAATCGAGATGTAAAAAGAGAAGTAGTGAAAAGTAAAAATAAGATGTGGGATAGAAGATGTGCAGAGGTGGCTAGATTTATGGATGGAAAAAGATGGACAAGCATGAAAGGTGATAAAGTCTTTCCGGAGCGAAGGCAAGGAAAAATCTAACTTACAGATAATAGATCTGAATTAATATCCGAACATACACAAATAATTGAGCAGGACTTGAAGACATCCGAATTAAGTAAGTACAGTATGGACCAATAATATTACGTGAGATGTTGGTTTAACTATTTAACAAATATTAACACGAACAAAATATCCCTAATGATGGGAATGTTGGATGTATAAGCTCAATATTAAAGAAAAGGAATAAACGCAAACACTCTAATTATAGGGAATAACTGTTATTAGCTCAGTGGGGAGGTTGTATGGTCGAATAATAAAAGAAAGAAAAGAATCAGAATACAATGACTTAGAAAAACAAAATGGATTTCATGCAGGAAGATCGTGCACTGGTGATATATTCGTTCTGCATAAGGTAATCGAAAAACGAAAGTCAAGGAATCTATCTACCCACCTACTGTTTGTAGATTTAGACAAGGCATACGATACGGTACCTTTGAAAAAACTGTTTTAAACATTTACAAACGAAAGTAGGTCTCAGTAGAGAGTATGTAGATGCTATCGCAAATATATACAAAAATGCAAGAAGTGTCGTTAAAGAAGGAAAGTTTATATTTGAATAATTTCCAATAACAAAGGGGTTAAACAACGATGTTGTCGATATCCGACCTTTAAAATTTAAAAAGTTTTTTAATATATATTCAATTATCGTTAGAGCAGTAAAGAAAACAAGACTTTAGAATGGGAATAGACATAGACGGTAATAATGACTTATGGGGCAAAAGTTTGGCAGTTCACGAAAAAAGATAGAAAAAAAAGTAGTAGAAATGGATTTTCTAAGGAGAGCGTGTGGTATATTCAAAAAAGATTATACCAGGAATAAAGATATTAGAAGAAGGACAAACACTGTATATTCCAGTGTGGACAAAATTGAAACGAGACTACCAACTAGTGTGATATGGTCACGTAAAGTGAATCAATAAAGACATATGGCCAAAGAAAGCTTTAAATTACAAACCACAACAAAGAGAAAGGAGGTAAGGGTCTTCAGTTGCCTGAGAAAAAAATATACGGCATATAATGAGAGATAGAGCCATTAAAAAAGACGAATGGATGGTGGTCGAAATGCGAGAAGCGGCAGAGACTGTAGGAACCTCAGAAGATTACCTAAAATCCAAACTGTTGGACGTTGTAGCTCATTTTAAATCGCAGTATGATGAGCGTATCGTAGATGAAATTGTAAAAACTAAGAATGTTAAGTTACCCTCCATACTACTGTGAACTGAATCCGATAGAGCTGGTATGGAGTAAAATAAAAATATTCTGGCAATATATAACACAAACTTTAAGAAGGAACAAGTAGAAAATCTAATACATGAAGCGTACTTTCAAGTTATTCCACAAAAATGGAATAATGACGTTCAACACGTAATTAGCATAGAAAAACAGATGTGTAATATCTATCATTTACTTCAAAATATCGACTCAGTTATAATAAAGCTTAATGACGATAGTAGTAGTGGAAAAGAGGATGACGGAAGTATAGAAGAAATGTAAAATAAACAGTTTAAATACATTTGAATTATTTATGTAGGTTTCTGTGGCAGCCAATAGTTTAATTTTGTGAAGATTTATCATTAAATAGTGGAAATAGTTTAAATAGTGAAGCAGTTGAGTTTTGAGTTAATCTACCAGTTCCGGTATCCAGATGAAATAGTGTTAATCGAGTTTAGGTAAAAAACAAGATACCGAATGTAAGTCTACCTTCTTTTTTATGAATAATAAAAATGAATATTATATTTCAAATAATCCACAACCTGATTCAGAATCTAATTCATTAAAATCAATGATTACAGTAGATATATGGCTGGTATCAATTATATCTTACATTTCAAGAAAATGTCGAGGTTCTAAAAAGAACCATTTTAATACATATTAATATCCATACCGGTTTTAGTTTAAAATATATCCTCAATATCATTCCTGAATTAACAATCTGATTCGCAAACGACAGAAACTGGTAATAAAGTTGTCCCGGCCTCTTTTTCTAATTGAAAATAATTTAATCATTTTAATATTAGTTTTTTTTGTTCATTCTCGGTATATCTCAGAATATTTAAAATATTTTTATGACAATAAATACAAAATTTAATTTTCACTGTAGGTAAAATGTCTGAAAATACTAACCTGGAATGACAATTATCATTTTATAAGTTGACATTGTGAAAGTACGGTCACGGTCACGATCGAAACCATCTGCGCCAAATTATATTTATGTGCATCATTGATTGGATATCTGTTTAGCGTATTCTAAACTCCAACCAATTATACATCCGTAAGTAGAATTCGCTTTAATATGCGAATACCCGTAGACAATACCTAATTTTCTAAGTTCTATGTATAATAATCACAGACTCATGTTTGTTTCTGTCACTTCTAGCTTAATGCATTAGCACAGAATAATAAAAAATCAGAATGCCCACTCTCAGATGCCGCCTTTGAAGTTTTTCAGCAGGCGATCGCCATGTTTTAGAAGGAAACCCGGAACACAGACTCGGATTGAGAATCACATTTTGGTGTAGTGGGTCTTTATCGACATATGCTTTGTGAGGTTATGTAATTGTTTCTATTTATATTTAATTACATTATATTTATATTTATGTTATTATATTTCACAATGTTAAAATAATGGCATAGTATGTCTATGATTGCCGTAAGTCAATTAAACCGGGTTAATTTTTCTATGCACACCACAAACATTTTCTTTAAACAACACTGGTTCCCTTTAAAACATGGCGAAACGTCTGCGCGAACGAGATGCGCGTACTTAATTTTCCATTGAGAGTGGGCATTCTGATTGGTTATTATTCTGTGGCATTAGAGAGAATTCAAACAACTATGACGCACTGAAAAAAGGGTTTGGGACGGACTGTGTTATGTTTGCTAGTCTAGCTTTGCGCTAGTCTACATTACCGCCTACTCTACTACTGTTTTTACCTATACGTTAATAATTAAATAATTAAAAGAAATTACTAGAGGAAAATTCCATTAAGAAGGTCAAATGAAGAAATGAAGAAAGTTACATTAGTTAGTCTAGTAAAATTAGAAATGAAAAAGAAGAAAATGCCAAAAAACTTCACATTTAACATATCTATCAATAAAGTAAAATTTAGAAAACTGACGTAAAATAATAATTCGTGACAAAAACTGTCACAATACTCTCTAACACACGTCAATTTATCAAATATGCTTATATTTAAATTATTATTACTGTCTATACTAGTTGTGTCATGCGATAAACCAAAGTTAAGAATAATAGGGGGAGAAGAATGTAAAAGAAGCTACCCATTTATGGTTTCGATTAGAAAAAGAAACATACATCATTGTGCGGGAACTTTAATAGCACCCAAATGGGTTCTAACTGCTGCACATTGTGTTAGCAAAAATTATTTACAGACAGCTGTTATTGGCAGTAATTATTTAGTTCCCAAATTTGATGATATTTTTATGGATGTAAGTATCATAAACCATAGGACACATCCAAATTTTAATGAAGTTAATTTTGCAAATGATATAGCAGTTATGGAACTTGCAGAACCAGTGCGTCTTCCATCGTTCGTACAGTTGCCCAATAAATTTTTATCTGAAAATATACAAACATATTATCAGAAGGCGTTAGTTATGGGTTGGGGAGCGGAAACGGAAGGTTCTAATGATAGAAGCCCTGTACTGCGTTGTGTGTATTTATCTCTTATTACTATTGACGAATGTCGATTATATTATCCTCAAAATCTGATCAAAACAACTCATATATGTTCTTTAAGTAAAAATCGTGATGCGTGTCAAGGAGATTCTGGAGGTCCGCTTCTTAGTGATGACATTCAATATGGTATTGTATCATGGGGATGGGGTTGTGGCAGATATCCTGGAGTTTACACCAAAGTGTATCATTTTCTGCACTTTATTGAAGAAGCAATAAAAAACGATGCAAAAAATAAATGTAATAATAGTGTAGTAATCTTTTTTGTATTATTTTTAAGTCAATTTTTATATACTTGTACACATCATATATGATTTTAAAAAATATAATTAAGTGGAAACAATTTTTTACTTGGTAGTAAAGAAAAATTTTTTACATAATACGCTTTCTCTCCAAAATTAGTCATATAATTTATTCCAATCATACATCCAGTGACCCGCAAAAGTCGTGACCTGACGAGCGATTGTATGGTTTATTGTTTATTTTTAACATTTAAAATATTCGTAAAAAAAATTTTTTTTAGAGTGTCCCCGATGAGGTGCTTGTTAAATTAATTTTGATGTATTCCTTTTTGATGTATGTTAGCTGTTTTCTTTTTTTTTAAACAATAAAAAATAAATTTGTAATAAGGCCAGATCAAGTAACTCAAGATTGCGATTGCTCTTGCTCTTGATCTTCTTATCATGAACTTTTGATTCAATATACCGAAGATATGCTTGGTATTGCAAAAGCCTGCATCATCATCATAATCATCATCATTTGGCTCTACAACTCCAGGTGAGTCTTGGCCGCGATTACTATTATTTATTTTATTTGTCGCGTTATTGTTTACTATACTGCGAAAAACAATATTAGGTTCTTTAAAAAGATTTTTAAAAACTTTGTCTTACTTTGGTTTCTTAGGCTCTAGGTACTTCGACACGGACAGTTACTGCGACAGCTTTGACTAGGAGACTGGTAGATGTTTATGATACCACAGTTTCACCTAAAACCGTACGTCGAAAATTAAGCGAACAAAATTTATCATCTGTACCTATACAAGCTCTTTATTGGATGTAGTGTATTGAAAACAATGCATGGAATTATGTCGTGCTCATAAAGATTAAGATACGGAAGATTAGAGAAAGGTTTGATTTTACAAAAGAAGAGTGCAGTTTAGTGGTACTGTTGGTATTTTTTTGGAAGCACATTCAGATTGTGTTACGTTAATGTTAGGTAGCCCTAATGCTGAGAGGTAGATTAAACGTTTGGAAGAACATGTGTTACCTTATAAATGCTTTGTGTAGGTAAATATTTTCTGCTTTTTCTTCTTTTAGTGCCGTCTCCACTAATGAAGGTTGGCTATAACTATTTCAAATTTATCTTTACCTTCTGCTTTTCTTAAGAGCGCCTGTGTGTTTAACCCAATATAGTCGCGAATTTTTTTCTGTAGGTATATTTGACGTCTACTAGGATCACTTTTTCTCCGATTTTACCTTTTATATTTAGCTGCGACAACTCGTACTTATCATTTCTAAGTATGTGTCACAAATATGCTGTTTTTCGCTTTTTAATGGTGGTCAAAAGTTCCCTATCTCTTCCCATTGTGTGCAAAACCTTTTCGTTAGTAATATGATGGGTCCACCGAACCAACTTTCTGCTAATGCTGAATAATACTCGACTGCACATAGCCAGAATAACAATGCAATACTTTGCAGATGTTTGTATTTACTAATTAGTCTGGTCTTCTTAAACTTTTAACTTATAGGAGCATTTGTGGGACAACTTTTAACAACAACAAACGAGGCAGTTTATTATTTTTAATCCAATTTTATCGACCAGCAGTAACGCTGACCAGGGCCCCAATATTTAAAGATGGATACCAACAGCTCATTTACCTCTCTACACGTACCCCAAAGAAACTCTAACCATACCTTAAAGTACTTATTTGCTGTAGCAAATTTGTAATATTCCCATCTAGACAGCAAGCCATAGTCTTCAGTGCAATCGAAAATACTAAATTGCAAGACTATTTATGTCCATTGCGCACAAGAATCGAACCTACAGAATATAATATTGGTATCCAGATTATCCAATAATCATATTAGTATGTACCAAGCGAACAAAAAAGTTATTGAACTTTGAAAATAAGGCTATTATCGAGCATAAGTTAATTAAATCTATTCCAAGTACTTTCGCTTAAAATAGCATCTTTAGGGACATCTGAAATAGGTCAAGAAAACGTTTTTTAGATGAAGTAAATTAGTTAACTTCAATAAAAAACTCGAAGTTAAAGGATGAAAAAAAGTTTTTGAGATTAACGTTTTAGACTTACTTCGTCAAAATGTAAACTATCCGGCAAGCGTAGAATGTGGAAACATTAAAAATAACATAAATTGTACAAAACACTACACTAAAACGAGGACAAACAGTTTAAAATTACTTCTACGCTACATTCTCTGTCAGTATCTGGAGGGATAATGATCTAAGAGGAAATGATACGGTGACATGTGACATATGACAACTTTGATAGGCAGTCAAAGTTATGGATCTGTGATCAGCAAATATTAAAATTCTGTATAAGTTGTCATTGGCCAAAGGTCCAACTAGAACTACTACTGAAAAAATCAGCTGATGAAGTATGACATATAGAATATTTTGATTTAAACTAGATTGCATAATCCAGATCTCACACTCACACCCGTCTGTAATAATAAGGTTGTAGGTTTGAGGCTAAATGAAATGTACATAAAATGTGAATGAAAGAAATTGACCAAACGATCTATTGGACAGTGGGTAGTTGACTACAATAAAATGGTCTAACAGGCACTGTCATTACTGCAAAACGATAAGAAAATTGACTATGAAATTGAAATATTAAAATTTGATCAGAATTGAAAGCAGTGTGTAAATGGGTATAGTTCAAGTAGTTAAGTTAAACCTCAAGCCAAAGGGGGAACTATAAAACTAATATGTAATATCATTACTAAAGATCAACTGACCAACAGGTGTTGAAATATAAAACTGTGGAATTAGTATATGTAGATTATGCAGAGATATGAAGAGTGAAATCAACTCCAACTGTGGATCAATTGAATCTGAGCAAGCTAGTTGTGTAAATTGTTAAATACAATAGTAATGCTGAACAGAGCTTGAAATTGGTAGATTCTTAATGTATAGACTCAGTGCAAGAAGTCTAGACAGCCGAGCTGGGTCCACTACGAGGTGAAGCTGTAATAAAGTTTTTAAAATAGGTTTAAATTTAGTACAGTTTAAATTAATTTGAGTATTAAGACAATGAGAGTTTCCATTCGTTTCCTTTGTGATCTTCAAATCTTCCAATAGATCCAACTCCAAACAGTTTTTCTTTCTACTGATGTGATGCAAAATAGACGACCCAGTATTTATGTTGAAATTGTGTTTGTAGACTCTAAATGTTGACCAAAACTTGAAGAGTTTGGTCTTTTTAAATGTTCTGATATTCTAGTAGATAGCTTTCTAATGGTTCTGCCTACATAAGAGGCATCACAATCATCACACTTTAATTTGTAAATACCACTTTTGTCAAATGTGTTCAGCCTGTCTTTGGTGTTAATTAAAAAGGAACCTGCAGTGTTGTGTGACTTAAAGGAAATTTTGATATTTTCAACTGTAGAAGTAAAAAGTTTAGCTATTTTATTAGAAATGTTACTAATATAAGTAAAAAAGAAATATCTGATGTTGTTAGAAGCATTTTGTTGAAGAGGACTTTGTGATGAATATGCAAGCTTTTCTGTAATTTTGAGTTTAGCTCTATTTAGAAGCTTATGGATAATGTTGGGATCATAACCATTATTTAAAGCAATTCGTTTGAGAGTGTTGAGTTCTACATTAAAGTTATCATTTGAAAGTGGAAATTTAAGTAATCTGTGGATATAACTATTGAAAGCAGCCATTTTATGTTGGGTTGGATGGTTATCCATATATCCATATCTACAACCAATAACTACAATAAATCACTGTATGACCGAAACTGTCAATTTAGAAATACGTTAGTGTCATGATTAATAGGCAAATTTTTTACGTGTTTTGTTCATACGCTGTGTATGTGAGTTCGAATCCCAATACGAATTTCCTTTTTTATTTTTGAAATATTAAAAAACCCCACGTTAATCGTATTAAATATATGTAATATACGAAAAAATGCTAAATTTTAAAATAAAATGAAAATTTAAAACATAAACTGAGTTGTTGGTTTTTTATTTTTATCTTCCACAAACATTTTTTAAAGTTATATTTTTATATGCGCGTTCGACGTTGGAAATTTGTACGGGAGTGAATCGGTTAAATCATTACATATGTAAAATATAGGTAACAGAGAGACAGAAGATATATTTTCTCTCTCGAGAATAAAAATGTTCCTTTTTTAAATATATTTAATATTTATTATTATTTTTTTATTAATATCCTTACCATGGTAAATTAAACATATGCCTCAGTAAGTTATGTATATTATCATTTTTAAATACTTAAGAATATTGTATTTTAATTTATATTGTATTATTATATTGAATTATGTTGCAGTGTATTGTATTGTGGTTTTATATAAAATATCAAAATAAACAATGAATTTTACTGCAGTGTATGTGTAAAAATAATTTCTTGCTTTCAACTTTTTTTATACATATATGAAAATATATATATATATATATATATATATATATATATATATATATATATATATAGAATTTTATTTAAAATATTGATTCAATCCTTCATTTACTATACTCCTATTACAGGTCAAATGTTTATGTACAGCAAACGATGCACCAAATCCTATATATCTAATCCTCTTTCTATTTCTGCTCTCTCTTACTTATAGCATTACATATGTAATAATTGTGCAGATTGACTCCCATATAAATTTGTAACGGCGAACGCCTGTATAGAAGTATAACTTCTACCGGCAGTCCCACTCGACTACCACATCCGTTTTTTTTTATTAATATATGCTGTAATATTTACTGTAAAACATAAGGATTAATATATAGGTATTTGGTTTTTTTTAGCGTTAGGAGTGGATTTATACAATCAAAATATATACTTCTATAATAACTTTTTAAAAATTTTGTTTATAATAGATTTTATAAGTAAAAATACTGATAGTCTTAATATGGGTCTTGCTACTGTCATTAAGAATTTCGCTTTCAAAATATACCTTTGCAAATTATAAACATGTCCTTAAATTCTAACGACATTTGGTTGATTATATTAAACTAAGCAAACATATTAAATTGCAAATATGTAT